CCCGCCAGGGCTGCTCTCGTGGCTGGGTGGGAGCTGTCGGGAGGGGGCGCTTTGAGAAGGTAGAGAGGCTCAGACTGGCGGGAATGACCTGCTAGGATGTGGTTCTTGGTGGGTTTCTGTAAGTAGGTGGGTCCATCTGCTGGTTTTACGGTAAAGGCCAAGAGGAGGGCAAGGGTTGAACCAAGTCCCGCTCAGATCCCAAACGTCTGGACGAAGATCTTTCGTCTGTGGGTCAATGACAGAGCCCGTGGTGTCGGTGGCCAAATGTCCCTCTGGTTTCAGGATGCACGCACGTGCAAGCCCCTGCCTCAGTGTTTTTGTTGGTCTTAACTGATAGCAACTTTTGAAGCCCGAGAGGGAGGTGCAGAGGAGTTGGGGCAGCAGAGAAAAAGGGCCCACCAGTATGCCTGGCTTCCCTGCCCCACAAGCTGAGTCCCCTGCAAGGGACTCCGTAGAGAGAAGCCCCTGCTAGCCTCGGGAGCCCCTCCTCGGCTGGTTCCATCACCCGGCGGATGCTATCAGGGTCTTGGTGATCCAGAAGACGTCTGAAACACTCACAAGGCCAGTAGCTGTAGTTCCCCTGTGGGCGGTGGTCTCGGGGCGGGGGGTGGGGGGCTCTGTGGAACCCCTCCAGAACTTGGAGGCGGAAGGTAGAGGGAGAAGAAAACTCTTCTGGCCTGGAGGCCGGGCCTGACTCCCCGCCCAAGGTCAGCACCACTCGCAGGGGCGCTGCATTCCCCAGGGGTCCTTAGGCTGGCAGGCTGCGGGGTAGCGCCAGGACAGAGGCACCCCAGGGAGACTGGCGGCTCTGGGTCTCCCTGGCACGGCTCGAGCCCCCACGTGCCCAGTGACACAGGCGGTTGCTCCTGACTCGGTGGCCTTGGGGACCCGCCCGGCCGGAACCTGCCATTCCCCCGTCAGTGCCGCCTCCCCGACTTGGCAGGGCCGACTGCTGGAGCTGGAGCGGCCCTCGGTATTTCCAGCTTGGCCCCCTGCCCGCCTCTCTGGGGCCTTGCAGTCTCTCCCTCGCGGGCCAGGACCAACACACCCTCTCAGCTTGATGGCTTCCCAGCCTCACCCGGGGCCTCTTCCTGCCACCCCACGCTCCCGGGCCTCTCACCTTGCCTGCTCCCTAGAAGACAGTATCGATGCCCCAGAGTGGAAAATGCAGCTGCCTCCCAGGGAGAAAGCATGGAGCCTGGCTTGTGTGTAAATCACCAAGGAGGCCACGACCGACCTTGGTTCACCTACTGCTGTGGGCACCTGAGGGGCTTGGACACGGGGTGCCCCCCCGCCCCCCGCTCTCACGCGCACTTGCCCCAGTTGGCTGGGTCCCCGGGCCCAACGCCTTAGGAAATGCTGCTTCTTTAAGATGGGCACGGAGATAACTGGGTGGCCAGTTGGCCGGCTGGAGCCAAGGGCCACCACTCCTTCCTGGGTGGCCACTCGCTGAAGGGCCCTGGGGGTGCCGGGGGCTCGGCCGTCCAGGTGGCTTCCCAGATACCTAGAAAGGGAACAGTGACAACTCGGGCACGCCTCACCAGTGCAGGCCGATTGGATGGTGGGCGAATGGAAAGGCTGTCTACGAAACCAAGTTTTGTGATTTTCAAATACCACGGACTGTGATGCTAACCGGATAATGTTTCCTGTTGGAGGTCATTTGGAGATGTGCTTGAGTGAACAGATAAGCGCGATTTGTAATTGGTATGCCAGTTGTTTATACAGTCCTCATAGGATAAACAGTTCTCCTGAACCTTATTTATATTTTGCATTTGTTTATCAAAACTTTTTTTTTTTTAACTTCAACCCAGCTGCTTTTGGAATTATTACAAACTCTGGATTTATGAGTCCTAATTAATGGTACTTTATTATATGTGCACAATAATTTATCTTGGCAGCATGTGTGCTTTATCCAAAAGCCTCAGCGCTTAGGGTAAGGGAAGCCCAAAGTGTCCCTTCCTCCTCAGAGTGTCAATGTTATGTGAAGACTCCGGGGACAAATCATGTGTCTTTATCAGATCAAAAGCAGACATGTTATGGAGTAGATGAAGCGTGAGATTTCCAAGGTCTTTCCCAGACCATACCCTCCGGTGTTGTCCCCAGAGCTTGACTGGCCTGTGGACACTCCAGGTGAAGTTGGCATATGGTAGGGTGTGTATGGGGCCAGTGGAGGAAGGAGAAAGGGAGGAAGATGACCAGGATCGGATACTCAATGGCACTTTCCAGCAACAACGGATGTTCATCCTTTTTTTATGATCTGATGTGTTCCCTCTACCATTTTTGTCCTTCACTAGTGCCATGGCTCACCATCAGCGTTCTGGCAGCCAGCCCTGGCCTGAGCCTTTCCACATTACTTCCAGTCGGGAATGAAAGATGCTATTTGGTCCAAGGATGCGGCACTGGTTTTAGTAGACCTGTGCTCTGATTTCACAGCCGGATCTCACTATTACGGAGGGCTACAAGTTCACACCAAGGGTGGTCACCTTGTTCTGTGGGTGCCCAGATTTCTTGGGGCGTTTACCCATGCAAAGGCCTCCCAATAACTTGACCCAGACACAGACGGCCCCACACGTCCATCCTCTTCCTCACCGTCTCTGCAGACGTCTGGATGACTTGAATAAACCTGAGCTCAAGTGTAGCGTCCCTTGCCTTCTGTCACCCAGCTGCCTGTCATTCTTCCTCCAGCAAGGGTAGAGCAAGAGAGCAGAGGGAATTAGAGGCAACACCTTCCCCAGCCCAGTCTCTGCTGGCCTCTCAGCTTCAAGTCTTGGGGTCCCCCTTTCTGGCTAGTGAGTATTATCAGGGGAGGGCTCACCGTTATCCCCTTCCTGCCCACAAGCCCACACAGACAGCAGCCTTGCATCTTCTCCCCATGGCACAGACGAGAAACTGAGGCATGCCATGGTTTTAGGGTAATGGTGGCACCCAGCTTGGGATGGAGCCGGAAAAGAAGACTTCTGGGGGCTTGGGTTTGGTGCTGTTATTTTTAACTCTGGTTTTCAGCGTCCTTTCTTGCAGCTCTGGCCACAAGATAGGGCTGGGATGTTGTGTGAGGCTTGATAGGTATCAACACTCAGTGGGCCTGGCCTGTGAGCTCCGACTGACCGAGGAGGAAGCGGTTAGGTGGCCAGGAATGCAACCTGCGCCTCCCAGATTAATTAATAATTGAGAGCTGGCCCCCAGCCAGGCGGAGCTGCGAGAGATAGAGTGAACAAAGAGTGGTTAACTACAGTGGGGGGAGGAAAAGTTTGACTTTGCCTGTGGCTAAAAGGGAAATTCACAATGGCCATGATTTATGGGCTGAATTACTTCGGCTCCTCCTTAGTGGGCCCCGTGTGGGCATGCACTCCAGGAATGCAGACGCTGGCGGCCTGCAGGACCATTCGTGCCCACTGGAAGGGACGAGGAAAGGGTGGGGGGCCGTGTGGCCCGTGCCAGCCTCGGTGCAGGAGGCGCGAGGCACACCCGTGGGAGACAGCAGGAGAGGGACTGCCCTGGCCGCCTGGCCGAGCTGGGTCTAGGCTAGAAGCTGAGTGCCCGCTGGGACACACTCTTTGAGGAGGAATGGAGGGAACAGTGGGTGTGGAGTCTGGCTGCCTGGAGTTCAAATCCCGCTAATCGGCTGTGTGACCTTGGGCAGGGGGCTTAACCTCCCTGAGCCTCCGTTTCCTCGTCTGTAAGAGTATACCCGGGATCGTTCTCCAGGTTAAATGAGATGCGGCTTGTAGACAGTAGGTGCTCACTAGCAGCTGGATTCCCAGGGAGGGACCAGAGATGAGGCCTCAGTGACAACCCAGTAATGGCAGGGGATGCCTACGGCAGCTGTAAGCAGGGTGGTCCCTCAGCAGAGCTCTGCTGGGCCCACGCGGCAGGGTCAGGTGTGTGCTGCTTGCTGGGGTGCAGACACGATTATTCACCCTCCTTCCCCAAGAGTCCCTTCGTGCCTGCCCATGACTCAGGAAAGACACTCCTTTCTCCCACTAGCACTCGGGTCCCTATGGCTGCCAGCAGCCCTCCACAGGGGGAGGCAGTTCTAGAAGACACTGGGCATTGCCCTCAGTTGGGTTCAGCTCAGATGTCTCCCTGGGCTTCTTGTCTTTTCTAGAAGAAATCAAAGATTATGAACTGGATCATGGCAAACAAGCCCTATGCCCCTCTGAGCGGAAAGGTTAGCCGTGGGAGACCAGATAGAAGCACAGTTGACAGGACCATCGCTCTCGTGACTTGAGTCCTGCCGTGTGAGCCCGTGTGTGTTCAGACACAGGCTGAAGGATTACTTTGAGAAATACGCAACTGTTCCTGAGCTGATGGCTAGAAGGAGCGCATCGGCCTCAGAAAACGCGGACAAGCCCTGATCTGCTTCCTTGTTAACCCTTGAGGACCAGGGGGCAGTCACCCCACCCCTCTGAGCTTTAGATTTCATAACCTAAAACGGGGTCACTTATGAATGGGCTCGGAGAATTGGAAAACCCTCCACATTTCAAAATAGCATCCCACTGTCACCATCACCACTGATGGGGGGATAGAGCCACCTTTCTTGGCTTGGGCTGTCGGGGCCACGGGAACCAAGCTTGCCCTCCTGCTGCTGTGGAAACCAGTATTGGACTGGGGGCTGAAGCGTGGGGCCGGGGCTGTGGGACTGTGTCCACCTGCTAGCCTGATGGGATGGACAGACTGACTGGCTCCTTCCCTCCCCTGCACCTCCTGCCCCGGATCCCACAAGCCAGCCCTTGACGGGCAGCTGGGAGCCTGGGCCGAGGCTGCTTCAAGCACACACAGTAACACGGCCACAGACGGGAGACCTGGTCACAGGGGTGAGCTGCTGCCAAGCCCTTTTGCAACATTTCTGCAGGGAACATTTTAAATCTCAGGTTATTGCGTTCTTTACGGCAAATATTAGTATTAATTGTGGCTTAATGATCTGTCCGGTCAATATTAGTTTTTTGCTTATTACAAAGCCCTCCTGTTTGTTCTAGAAATACACGAGAGTGATCCAGGCAACCCTCACTTTAAGAAAACCCAGCAGGCTGGACTCCGCATTCACTGAAGAGGTGTGGTTTATGTACCGTTGTGTTGCAAAAGGATATTTTAAAGAAAAGGATTTAATGCGGGGATTATTTTTGGACTTGAACACCCCTGCCTTTGGTACTTTAATTTGGGGGTGCTTATCCTAACCTGCATCTTCAGTGTAAAATCAAGGCAGGTGTGTTTGACTTGCAGAGGTCACATGACACTGTCTTGTTGGTAAATAACAACAGGCTGATGTTAGATGAGGCTTATTTTTGAGAGCTATGCAAACAAGAAAACCAGCCTCCCGCCCTGTTCTTCGGCTCTTCCATTCAGAGCCATGCCCTCTGTTCCCTTCACCCTCATTGACTTAGCAAGCCGCGGAAGTGAAATCCACCCCCATTGCCAACACAGATGACTGTAGACTGTAGGCGATTTTGGGGGGTGGGGGGGGTACTGAAACAAGCCTTGCGCACAGTGAGCTCATCCGGGATTCCATCAGCCAGGCTGCTTCTTGAGGATCAGCAAGTAGGAGCGATGCCTCGCCCCCCCTGCCTCAGTGTCCTGGCCTCTGAGCATCAGTGTTGTCACCTGTCAACTGGGAACAGGTGTGGCTGCTCACCTTTTTCAAACCCAGGGGAGACCCATGGATTTGCCTTCCCAGCTCTCGGCTGTAAAATCCATTTGGCACCCCACTGTCGGGAGCTGGGCGCCAGGGCCCAGGGGAGGAGAGGCAGAGCCGAGGGCAGCCTCATCCCAGGCGTGGAGACGCGTGCCCTCCTGACAGCAGCATCACTCGGGTCCCTGTGGCTGCCAGCAGCCCTCCACGGGGAGAGGCAGTTCTAGAAGTCACTGGGCATTGCCATCGGCTGGGTTCAGCCCAGATGTCTCCCCGGGCTTCTGATGGCAGCATCAAACAGGATGTGGTCACACCCAGGGACTGAGGAAGGCTTTTCAAAGGAGGTGATGTCGGGGTCTTGATGTTTGAGGAGGAGTCTGACAAATGTTGGGGCTTAGGGGAGGAAACTGTCGTGAGGGCCTTCACGAACTCCCTTTGAGTGAGGCACTCTGCGAGGGAAACCAGCACTCCTCAGGGCCACCTTCTTGGTGTGCACCACGGGCCTCACTCAAGGACCGGTGCTCAGGTGGGGCCTCCGCTCAGCTCAGTGCACTGCCTTCATCCCTGAAATTCTGAATCATTTTTTTAAGTAGGCTCCACCCCCAGCGCGGAGCCCAAAGAGGGACTTGAACTCCCGGACCTTAGCTGAGATCAAGACCTGAGCTGAGATCAAGAGTCGGACGCTTAAGCGACTGAGCCACCCAGGAGCCCCCTGAATAATTTTTGAACAAGGAGCCCTGCGTTTTCGTTTTCATATTGATCCCCAAAAGTGTGTCGCTGGTCCTGGCTCTCAGAGATGTCGGCATCTGCCCACAGTAACAGAGCTGTTTGGATTTGTGCCAGTTTTGCAAGTTTGCAGACTTGCAGTCTCAGGAGGCTGCCAGATCAAGGGAGAGTAGGGTGGGACAGAGTACACGCAGAGTAGGGTGTCCACTGCACAGGGAGCTAAGGGACCCCAATGGCAGAAGGTGGTAGGGCCAGGGATTTGAGGGGTCCAAGCTGTGGGGGGCCTCACCTGCTTATCCCTCAGGCTGTTTCTATACCAGCACTGGGTTCCTGCCCCTGAGAGCTGAGACAGGCTGATGGAGGGTGATTTGGGGGTACTTTGCTTTTGTGGCTTTATATTGGGTCCAAGCAGAAGTCTGGGGCAGGAGGTTTTCCAGTAAAACTCCAATTGTATTTGGGAGAGAAGGGAAAAGCAGAGGTGCCCCAAATTCTCCCGGCTCCGGGAGCCTGCAGGGCAGGAACATGCCCGGAGACAGGCTTCCCTGGAGCACCCCACCATCTGCCACAGACCGCATCCTGCACCTCTGCCGCATGCCTAGGCTGTCCCCATCTGAACCCCCAAAGGGCCGATTTTGTTCTCTGGGGTCTCAGATTCAACAGGGAAGTCAAGGTTGGGTTGAATCAGCGAATGTTGGCAACTAAAGCTTGAAGATGAAAACCCGGCTTATGGGGCGCCTGGGTGGCTCAGTCCGTGAAGCATCTGCCTTTGGCTCAGGTCATGGTCCTGGGGTTCTGGGATCGAGTCCCGCATCTTGTGCATGCTCTTTCTCTCTCTTATCTCTCACAGATAAATAAATAAAATCTAAAAAAAAAAAGAAGAAGAAGAAAAGAAAACCCGTCTCAGCTGACTGAGAATGCTGAAGGCCGGGGAGGGGCCCAGTTTGTGTGTGAATTTGGGAATTGGGCCATCAACAGGGCCCACCTGCAGGCAGGGAGGATTGGGGGGGCCCCTTCCCTTCTCATAACTTCCACCTCTTTCCTGGGGACCCAGGAGGTGCCCAGCTTCATGATCTTGCACAAAGAGTGTTATTTTAGAATCTTTCCAGGGGCAATATGAAAAGCAAGGCTTCCCCACCCCAGTAGGTCTCTGGGTAAGAAAACAAACAAACAGATTCAGAGTCTGACTTGGTGATAAGACAAAAGAGGACTTGGAATGGGAGCAAAGTTCAGAGGCTTTTGTTGCAGAAACTGGTTCCTTCTTGAAAATGTGGGCTGATTTTATAAGCTGCTTATCGCTGTCTCTCCCCTCATAGACACTTCTCCGTCCTTCCCTCGCAAGGCCCAGGGAACCAGAATTCTCTCCCCGACCCCGACTCGGTCCCAGCCCTGCTTCCTTGGGGTCTTCTGTCTCTGGCTTAGGTGCCTGGGTTTCCTTTAGGAGGGCCAGGCTGGTCCAGGCAGGTGCACGGTGTTTCTGGTGTCGTCTGGTCCCCCAGGCTGATGGCAGCCCCAGGGTGGCTCTCAGAGGCTGAAGCTGCCCACAGTGTTGTAAGAAGGGAGCTGGGACCGGGCACAGAGACCCCGGGGGAAGCCACTCCTCCCTCGGTGCAGGGAGCCTGGAACATCTCGCCGGGGTGGCAGAGTGAGACGGATGCTGATGGCAGCAGGGCCCCAGCTTTGTCCCCCTTGAAGCAGTAGGTCCCAGGGAAAGTGGGGTGGGGGGAAGGCTGAGCAGGCCTGTGTGTTAGGGCCCGGGTGGGAACTTGTTTTCTGTCAGGGGTGCACAAGGAGTTCACTTTTCAGGACTTGTTTGAATACCGCACAGTTGATAAAGGAGTGGAAACCTTACCCACCTCAGCCCAGGCTGCTACTTTGTTCCACCAGCGATGTGTGGCCGAGCAGGCCAGGGTCAGGCCGCCAAGGCTGGAAGAAAAGCCTTCCTGCAGTGCCCCACAGGTCTTTCCCTAGAGAAGGCTGGTTATGGCCTATGGCCACCGACTATCCTTGCACACCCTCCCTCCTAAGCCCATCCAGGGCGGAGGCTCTGGGGACCACCCCAAAGAGCAGAAAGGGCAGATGAGGCAGCATGGAGGGCCCAACAGAGAGTGTGAGGCCAGCCAGTCAGGATTCCCACCCTGCATTGCCTTGTGGCCTCTCCAACCTGGGGTCCGTCCTCTGAGAAGGGGGATGTTTCCATCTCTTGGACTTGGGAGTTTCTAAAGAGAGAATGGATAAAGAGCCCGAGCGCCCAGCCCCTCCCCCCCACCCTCAGGGACTCACCTGGGGTTAGTAGCCCTTTCCCAAGATCACCATTCTGCACTGTAACATCTAGAAAACGCTCATCAGGTTTTGGAGGGGTGGTGGGAGTGTGTGGGAGAAACTATACTAAAAAACTAAAGAAGTATATATGTTTGCAGGACTGTGTAGGGGGCCGTTGGTAGCTGTTCTAAGGCATGCTTTTTGAAAACCCCACTGCCCTCTGGTAATGGTAAGGTGGGCGGCATGTGGTGGGGTGGTGGCCTCCCACGTTGCCACATCCAGGGACTCCCCCTTTTTTTAAAGATTTTATTTATTAGAGAGGGAAAGCGCACGTGCACATGATGAGTGGGGGATGGACAGAGGGAGAGGGAGAGGGACAAGCAGACTCCCCACTGAGCAGGGATCCCAGCACCCTGAGATCATGACCTGAGTCGAAGTCAGGCCCTTAACCAACTGAACCACCCAGGCGCCCCCAAGGACCCCTTTTAATGTCCAGTCTTTATAGAGCCTTCCCATTCCAGCTCAGAGTGGACCTGGCTGGGTGGTCATTGTGCAGTCCTGTGGCATTACTCCTCCAGGTGGCAACCACGAGAGTAACACAGAGTCCCCTGTCTAATCAAAGCCTAGATAGTCGAGCTCAAATCCCAGCTTCGCAACTTCCTAGCTGAGGGCTATGGACACATTGCCTGACATTTGGGCCTCGGTTCCTTCATCTTGAAATGGGAATGACTGAAAGGGGTGGTGGGAGTGTAAAGTGACTTGCCAGTATGTCGAAATAGTGCATTTAAAGTGCTTCATATTCTGCCTGGCATTTGGTAAAGGTTCATTAAATGGTGGCTGGTTTATTAGTATTATTGGCTGGTTTATTTTATTATTGTTATTACTACTACTACTATTTCCCCTTGATTCTCAACTCCATTGGCATGTCTTATCTTTGTAAATATCATTACCTAATGTGAATACCTTTATGAACCAACGAGCTGACTCAGTCTATTAAATAATGTATACAAATAATATATAGAGATAAGATTTACGGTGGTTAATAATATCAGGAAAAATAAGAACAGCTGTTATTTCTGGAGTGCCTATTTCGAACCAGGCATTATTTGATGCCCTTGAAATGAATCCCAGCTGCCCAATGAAATAAGCAATGGTTGCATCCCCATTTCACAGATCAGGAAACTGAGGCCTGGGGAGGTAAACTCGTGTGCCCAAGATGTCACAGCTGGTGAGTGGCAGAGCTGAGATTCACATGCAGGAAGCTGTGCTCCTGAGCCCACGCTCTTTTTTTTTTTTTTTTTAAAGATTTCATTTATCTATTCATGAGAGATAGAGAGAGAGAGGCAGAGGCAGAGGGAGAAGCAGGCTCCCCGCGGAGCAGGGAGCCCGATGCGGGACTCGATCCCAGGACCGTGGGATCATGACCTGAGCTGAAGGCAG